TTGAAGAGAGATCAACTTAATGGCGACAATGCTAGCCCAGCTCTAATCTAGCATGTGTTTACGCCGACGACCACCTGTAAAACAGAGGCTGTACATCAAACCTCTTCCGGATGTCAGTATTCCGGACCATGTCCAGACGCGTAATCCGACGAGTCGTCTCAGAAAGCCCATTTCAGCAGCCAGCTCGTACCCGGGTTCGAAGTTTTTCAGCGATGGTCCACGACTCATGACCGTAGGTAAGCATGGGGATGAAAATCGACTTGAACACCAAGACCTTAGTTTTCAGCCTGACCTCTGATTTAGTCACAACGGATCGGGTTAGTTCACGCAGAAGGCCACTGGATACTCCAATTCGCCAGTCGATCTCTTCTTCAAATTTTCCATCGTTAGCAAATACAATTCCGAGGTACTTGAACTTCCCAACCTGCTCCACTGCCTCTCCGTTAATCTGAAGAGGGCAACGGGCAGGAGAATGAGAAAGCACTAGGCTTTTCGTTTTAGATGCGCTCACATGCATGCGGTCACGTAGCACTCGGCTGCGAACCTTTCTAAGGAGCACTGGAGATCGGTTTCAGAAGATGCTCATAAAACAAGGTCGTCTGCAAACCGCAACCTTCTCGACTTTACATCTCCTATACCGATACCCTCATCGCCTTGGCAGCTCATGACTATTCTATCCATAAACAACACAATCAGGACAGGATACAGGGGGCAGCCTTGGCGAAAATCAGTGCGAACGTTGAATGGTTTCGATTTAACGCCATTAACTCTGACGCAGCACCTGCTATCAGAATACAGTGATTGAATGGCGCTTAACAGCTGGCCATTTGTCCAGTATGCTCGAAGGCATGACCATAGACCATTGCGTGGGATCCGGTCATAGGTTTTTTCTAAGTCAACGAAACATATGTACACCGAAAGGGCGTACTCCATGATTTCTTAACAATCTGGCGCAGGGCAAATATATGGTCGGAGGAGCTTCGACCGGACCGGAAGCCACACTCCTCATCTTGCATCTTGAGGGGAGATATTTCGCGGCACCTCCTTTTCACAACCTTTGCGTAAACTTTGTGTGGGAGGCTCAATAACGTAATGTCCCTATAATTGGAGCATTGCTTGTGGTCTTCCTACTTCAATAGGAGTACAATGACTCCTGTTCTCCAGTCCGCAGGAGTCTTTCCCGCAATCAATGGAGTTTGACAGACACGTGCCTTGGTCGTCTAGTGCCTTGAGCATCTCAGGGCGGATTTGATCAATTCCAGCGGCATTTCCATTTTTCAAGCTTTTCACAGCTTGTGTATTTTCATCTACAGAGAGAGTAATATCCGTACCCTTCTGCTCTAAAGGCGAGTCTTCCTGATGTTGCGCGGGGTTAAGGAGTTCCTCAAAGTACTCCCTCCATCGCCGAAGAATGTCATCATCCTTAGTAAGAGTGTGTTCAGACCTGTCCTTTAAGACTCTGAGACTACCCGTATTTTCACCTCGGAGCCAGCGGATGGTCTGCCAGAATATTTTATTTGCCGTGTGGAAATTCGACTCCAACACCTCACCGAACTTCTCCGAGGAATCAGCTTTGGCTTTCACCACTGCTTTGATTGGCACCTTGGGTGCTTCGACATATCGCACGCGAGTAGAAGGCTGTTTGTTTCCAATCCATTTCTCGAACGCTGCTTTCTTCTCTTTAAGTGCCAGTGTACCACTATTTTTCACTAGGAAGCTCTTCCTTCTGACCTCTAAGATCTGAGAGACAGATCTATCTAAATTCACAGCATTCGCAAACAACCTCGACAATGCCGCTCTTAAAGAGCAGCCACTCGATTTGTACAGTGATCATCATTGGGATCTGTCCAAACCGTCATACAATGTAGTGAATTTCGCTTTCGTGTCCACCCACCGAAGATAATGTTTCCCGTTTGATTCTACGGTTGCTTTTGCCACCTGATCTTCGTATGGTATTCCATTTCTTACAGCGCAGCGTGTCAACAACAAGGTGGTGATCGGTTGATAGCTCTGCGTCTCTTTTAACACGAATATCCGTTACTGAGCGTCTTAGGGCAGACGATACGATTATCAAATCGGTCATCGACTTCTGTGCACAAGCTTCCCGGTACCAGGTGTACTGATGCACTTTTCGATGTCATAATAGACAGCCGGTTGTTTGCACAAAACCGGAACAACTTCATGCCATTACTGCTGTGGTCGCTAAGGCCGTTTTTTCAAATCACGCCGTTCCACTTTTCAGAGTCTACTCCGACACGCGGATTAAAATAGCCCATGAGTATGAGGTACTCCGCATTCGGCAGTTTGTACAAAGCACAATGTACTTCTTCAGGGAAGGAATCACACTTTCCTTCTAAATTGGGCGCATACACCTGTAACTAAGTCAATACTTTAGCGTGTTGAAGTTTCAGTCGGAGGACTGACACTCTTCCACTGACAGGTTTCCATTCGATGATTCTATCAGCTAGGTTAAGTTCTACCAGAAAACCAACACCCCCGTGATAGCGCTTCATGATATCGACACCTGAGTAGAATAGCATCCACCCTTAGAGGTTCAGGATTTGAGAGCCTTGGCGCTTCGTTGACGAGAGTCAAGCCATGTCTAGTTGGTTCGTTACGGCCTCATCAACTAACTATTGTTCTTTTTCTCTGAGTGAGGATATGTTCCAATTTCCGACTTTTAGCTTCCATTGGCAGTCTCTTTCTCGTGGAGCCTTTTCTGAGATGCTATAATGCATCGAGCTGTCTGCCTCCTCAGTTCAGAACGGGTAGGTCTACGTTGTCGATTGATATCTTCATGATCATTTGGTCGATCTTGGTCAGTCGTTGTTGTGCTACTGGTTGCCAGACGGCGATGAACAAGCTCTAATCGCCGAATTTTCGCAGCCTGTCGCCTACTGCGACACTCCCAAATTCGGCACTATTAGGCAAATTCGGCACTATTAGTCCGTTCTTTTAGTATCGCCACAGACAGGAGACCGGTTTCGGCCCTAAGTTATCGCGCTCCTTTCATCGAGTTTTTTAAAAATATGGAAATCCAGGATTTGGTCAAGGTTACCATCATCACAGCACTGTATTGTACGGCATTTAACCTATGAGGCTCAATGGAGGCTCGACAAAAGCAAGTGGGTCACCGTAATAAGTGTATAGTTGGGGGTAAGGTAAAATAACCTTAGTAAGAGTTCCATATTTCTGTAATTTAAGGTCATTACTAATAATTGTATGTTTTTCACCTATTTTTTCTAGATTTCTGAGGTATCACGTGCATTTCACTACCTTTTGGTGGTATTCTGTTCCATTCGCTTCTTTTGGCCTTCATATTCAGTAACTAATCGATTCAGGTTATATGTGAATATCAATCGAATTGGACGTGACATTCAGACACGACGCCTTCCAACGGATCATTTCTTTCTATCGCTATATAAAGGCATGCTATTCATCTCTGAAACAGATATAGATTTTTGACTTATTCCATACAAAAGCGTCCTTGGTATCGTTGCACACTCATGTTGCTGATGAGTGATGTTATGAAATGGAATGGATAAAACAGCAGTTTAAGACATGGCCGATCAAAGTTGAAGGAAAACGACTATGGAATTTAGTCGAACTTTGTCATCATGTCATCGGCCGTTGGAATGACAGACATTTTCTGTATATTAAATCAGACGCAAGGTACAGAATTGTAGAAGCCCAATATTTGAATTTTTTAAAGCCTTTCAACTTTCTGACATTTAAGGCGTATTTGTGAAGCAGCGGCTAACAAAGAATTCTCTATAGCGAGTCTCAAACAAGCAATTTTAAGACTTACGATTAGGAACCTCCTCTGTACCGTTGTTCTTCCTAGCCAAACGATGACTGCCGCTGTCTACAACATTCGACAACGGTGGTCATCAACGGAGGAGCAGAGACGTAAACTGTCGCACCATTGTCGCATTCGTCGCAAGAGGCGTCCAACGGCAGGCAGCGCTGAGGGAGAAGGAACGGCTGCACATGTCAATCAATAGCAAGGCGCGTAGCGACGTCCCATCTACGTCCGTGCATTAAACTTTAAGGCGTAAAAAGCGTATACGAGATACGCGAGTTTAATTCATATTAGAGTGACGACTGTCTCGTTTCATTGATTTCTTCCTCATAAGCGCCGCGAAATCTTTAGGTCTTGACGTAATTGAGGTTTTTGTTAGTCAGGGAAATGTTTTATTACCGTTCTTTACATGTCATTTGTCCGCCTCTTTTCAGGT